CCGTGGGGATCTGATATGGTCGCCCGAAGGCGTTGCGAGGCGGCAAGTAGGGGGGTCGGTATGGTTCGGGGTAGTGGGGAATGCTGTCGTGTTCCCACTGCGTCTGACTGGGGTCTTGGTCCATCCAGCCGAACGTTTCCTCGTCGTAGTTGAAGTCGTCGAAGACTTCAGACGGTGCCGTCCAGGTCAGGATGGTCTCCCTCTGCCAGGGAAAGGACGAGTAGGGCATCTGCCAGCTCCTGCTGCTCGTCGTTGGTTCTGGGGCGGGCATCATGTATGCGATCTCCCGCGGACGTGGCGAATTCCACCCTTCCTCTGTTGGCGAATATTCGAGCCTGGATGGCTGCCTCTCTTCCTCGCCGTGGAAGGGGAGGGCCTCTCGCAACTGCGAGGTAGTAGGCCATTGGGACTCTTTCTTCTGGGGAGAAGAAATGGTGTCGACACTCGAGGTCGTATCGTCGGATCTCCCAGGCCTGGGAGCGATAGGGACCGAGGATGGTTCGGTCGATGGCGGCCAGTTCTGGCCACTCGTAGTCCCCTCCGTGGGGATTGAGGGAGTTGTCGTCCTCTTGCTCGGGGACGGGTTCGTTTCCTCCGTAATCGGAGGAGTCGGAGTCGGAGTCGCCCTTGGGCCAGGGGTCGTCTTCTGGGAGTGGGATGGTGGTGGGATCGGCAATGGTAATGGCGATGCCACGGAAAGGATAGATGTGCTCGGGGGGTGTGTCAGGGTGGGGGCGTGGAAGGAATTCATCAGAGAGCTCCTCCCTGTTCTGAGATGGGGAGTCCTCAATCGTGATGACGGGGAGCTCGGGGGTAGGGGAACCGAACCGAGCCCGTAGGTACCTGCCGTAGTCCTGGGCCGCCTCGGCGTTATAGGCGGGAGGGGGGGTTCTTGGAACATTGCTGGGCCCCGGGGTCGCGTTATGGGGCGGTTGGTGCTCGTCGGAGGAATTAGAGTGATACGTCGCCCTCCTGGTGGTGGGGTAGGTTGGCTGCGGAGCCACTCGTTCCACGAGTGGTCCGGGTTGCTGGTAGGGAAAGACATATCGGGCGGGGAGTGGATTTCTAGTTTGTTGATGGGGTCTTCGCTGTATGCGGAAGAGTCTTTCGATGCGTTCCTGGTTGGCAAGAACGACTAGGACGGTGAGAAGGAGAGGAGGATAGCTCCTCCGATGGCAGAGGTGATGAAGATTGTCAGGTTATCGGGGTTCATTAGTCTCTCTCGACACAGCGATGGTGGTTGTAGAAAGAGAAGGGAAGTCTCGAACTAATTGTTAGGCTCTGCCTGACACGTGACCTTATTAACGTAAGGCGTAATAGAGCTGACTCGCGTTCGGTCAATCACTCGTATTAGCGCTTAGTCAATTGGTGCTAATCACGGTATTGGCAAAGTAAGATAAACTTTAGTTCGAGACTAAGGATATACAGTCGAGAACTATGCTACTTAAATACTAAACGTCGTATGCTAAGAATAGGTCAATGTCCGTGGTTACCGCGAGGTAACAGTTCGATCATACGTAAGAGAAGTCGTGCTAGGCAAGCGAGTATCACGAGCCGTAGTAAAAGAACTGAGGTCGTCCAATATAAACGTGGTGTCCATGATGTGGTCCGGTCCAGTATCCGTAGATAAGCGATGAGCGCCAAAGATAAGATGAGATTAGATAGGCGCTCGAGAGATAAGATAAGAAAATGGAAAAATCGTAACATGATTGTGCTAGATGTACAGCCGCTATCGAGTAACCCTCTCGTTAGGAGAGTCTTTCTTCCAGTGCAAGGGATAAGCTGGACATTGATCATGAAGTCTCTCTCGCTAGATTGCACCCGTCATAGATAATGGGGTGGTTCATGGAGTTGATAGAGCTTTTCTCGGGCTGTTTCTCCTTCGGTGTGGAGCGAAGCGAGGAGTTCGTTGGTGAGTTCAGGGACTCGGTCTCTGTGTGTCCACACGAAGAGTGCGGCATGTGCAGCGTTGTCGTTTCAAGCTTCACGAACTGCACGAAGCGTCCAATCTACCTCAAAAGGCTTCATCCACCGACCCTCATCAATGGGAGGGGCTCGGGGTATGATCGGTTCCGTCGGTTTAACATCGATTGGAGTTCATTCTTTGGCGAGCCAGAGTTGGTATGCCGTGTCATCTTCTTCGTCAGGAACTTTGATCATACTCACTGAATGCCCCCTTTTTACTGCCTGGGCGCTAGCAGCTTCCTGTCCTGCGGTCATGGTTTTGGCATCACCGACCTTCTTCTGTGGGCACTCTTCATCAACGTTGCCTAGGGCTACTGGCGAGCAGAGGTTCACCTTGTTGTCAAGGCCGATGCGCTGAAGTAAGGGGCTCGTCTGGGCAGGTGCGTCATTTCTCAAGGAAACAACCAGTTGTACCGATGTCGATGAGCGTGGTTGACTGGCACTTCCTGCTGCACCTGAGCTCTGCGATGTCATCACCTTTGTAACCTTTCCGGGTCATTTGACATGCCACGCCGACGACTGGGATACAGTTGAGGGCAGTACAAGTGGCCGCTCTTGAGGCGTCGTCGAGGAGGTCCTACTCCTTGCAGTATTCTCCTCTCAGGGAGCCGCTTCATCACAGGGGGTGTATTTCAACTTGTCCCATGCCCCATCCGGTCAAGTAGAACTCGCCGTTAAGATGGGTGTCACTATGGTGGGTGACTTATCATCAGTATCTTTCGTCCATCGGGTTTCCCGTCATGGACTACTCGATAGACGTTTAGCTCCTGTCCTTGGAGCGGTTGGGGGGGGACTCTCTGTCCCCGGTTCGGCCTTGTCGCCTGAGGTGCTTGAGCGGGTGTCATTATTGTCATTGCCGCCCTCAACCTGGAGTAAGGCGTATTGGTTAGTTGATTCTAAAACTGGGATGCTGGTCATGCTGAAGACATTAAGAGTGGGAAAAACAGTATCATGGGGTATATTCAAATGCGTATGTAGACAGGATGTAGCTAAAAAAGTAGAGTAAGACTGTCCAGTGGAAGACAAGCGCACACCAGTATGTAAGTCCTTGACCGCTGTGGGGGAATCGGACCCTGAGTGACCTATGCTTTTACTTCCTCTTTCACCTCTTTGACCTTTGATTCTGTCACCGGCTCAGCTTGTACTGACCGGATATCTCGGAATTGTTTCTTGTTGGGACAGTCCTTGCTGAGATGTCCCTTCTTATGACACCTGAAGCACAGTCCTTTCACCATCATTGTGCTGACATCCATGGGCTCTCCCTGTCCTGCAAACGTTGTTCCTGGTCTAGACAGCCATCTTCCTCCCATGTCACATCCTCTGGTGTTGGCCCCACTGCTCGTCGGTTTGGCCGACGACGAACTTGTCGTGCCACCTGTCAGTTTGTGACTGGTGGTGGTAGTGTGCTGGGTTTTAGAGGGAGGGCGATTGTCGTGGGGTCCAGGACCCGTTGCTTGGTTGAATGCCCACTTCTTCTGGCGTTCTTCGTACATCCAGATGATGCGAGCCTTCCACTGTTCATAGGTCACAGGGATGTTCTCCCCAGAAAAGGCGATGTACTTGGTATATGACTCGGGGACTCTGAGCCATACTGCCTTCACCATATAACCTCTTTCGTCTTCATTGCATCTTCTCCCTGCAAGCTTGGTGTGTTTTTCTAGCTTCTGGAAGTACATGGTGGCGGGTCCTGTTCCCATCCGGAGATTGAACATCTTCTTTTCGTGGACTTCCATTACCGCGGAGTCCCTAAATTAGGCGGTAAGGAGTCGAATGAACTCCTCGAAGTCTGGGAGTTGGAATCGGGGCTCGTCGGGGTCTGTGGCGCTGATGGAATAGAAGTCGATGCGCTTGTGGACCCACCAGTCCTTGGCGGGACCATCCAGATGGGAGGTGGCGAAGGTCATCATGAGGGAAGGGCGATTGAAGTAGGAGCCGAAGACCTCAAAGTAGGCCAAACAGTCTCCGAGGAAACGTTCAAGGTCTTCGTGGGCCCCTTTGTAAGGGACCGGTGGTTTGATCATGATTGGTTTGACGCCCAGGAAGGCGGCGTCGTTGTTGGCTTCGCCAATGGAGTTTGGCATGGGGCCAGGGCGTCCCTTCCCTGGAGGAGGTCGCGGTACTGACCATCGGTCTTTTTGCTCATGAAGGGGATGGAGGTGATCTGGGAGCTGGGGTCGACCATGATCTGGGTCCTTGCCCTTGTTGGCGGGAAGAGTTGGAAACCCCCATTGGGCGGCATGGTCCCATTGGGCCATCTCGGCTTCGTGGAGCCTGTGCTGAAGTTCTTTGACATCTTTTTGCTTCTGCTCCACAAGTTCTTGTGTCTCTTGGAGTTCCTCTGCTGTCCTGGTGGGCACCTGTGGCTGCCTAGATTTGCCTCAGGTCCTGGACCTAGCCACAAAAACCTAATGCATCCTCAGTGGAGCTAGCCAGGGTGGCTAGAGTCATGCACAACACATCTCCTACATAACCTAATGCCTCTATGTTAGTATCTGCTTGGTCAGCCATGCTATTATAGCCATCATCATCAACCCCAACCACCTCAACACTGGCTTGGGCCATTTTCATATTGGGAATCCCGACCAAAAAATGATCCCCTATGAAACAGCTCATTGTAGCATGAAATCTCAGTCTAATTGTATCTAATACATATATATGTTACACTACTAGCTCTATATGATAGAAACGACACAACCGCGAGTCCTGAAAGTCCATAATAAGGCCACGTCATGATGACATGTCACAATCACTCTGCTCCTCATCCGTAGCCTCAGATTCACTGGAATCACTACCACTGAGCTCTGCAGCACCACTAAAGGTCCCAGAAAGAACAAATACAGAATCCGCTAGGACTTCATCCTTCTCCTCGGTCTGCTTACACCCCTATCACCTATAGCTGCTACTTTTAAGACATCAAATAGTGTCAGTTGACACATAGTGAAAACACAATATGAGTGTCAGTTGAAAATATTCAATTTCCCAGGATTATATGGTATATTAGTCAGCAGCCCAACTTATGACATCATTAGAAAATCCGGCTGATATGGGAATTGAACCCAAGATTTTAAAAAGATTTCCATTAATATCACATGACTTTTCCAAGCAGACATACTAACCACTATACTATACAGACACTATATATTTATATATCCATGTCTCTATATGACCTTCCTCTCTTATATTTATAATATCCCAATTGGGTCCTCCCTTTGATGCGCTTTGGTGCACCTTTTTTTTCCTTATTGGGCTGCTCAAATGAGCCAAAATGCGCATTTTGACCAAAAATGGTCTGATATTGATGGCATCAATGGCAGGGCACAGCCGCTTTTGAGCGCATTTGATGGGCTGATTTGAGCAGCCCAATAAGGAAAAAAAAGGTGCACCAAAGCGCATCAAAGGGAGGACCCAATTGGGATATTATAAATATAAGAGAGGAAGGTCATATAGAGACATGGATATATAAATATATAGTGTCTGTATAGTATAGTGGTTAGTATGTCTGCTTGGAAAAGTCATGTGATATTAATGGAAATCTTTTTAAAATCTTGGGTTCAATTCCCATATCAGCCGGATTTTCTAATGATGTCATAAGTTGGGCTGCTGACTAATATACCATATAATCCTGGGAAATTGAATATTTTCAACTGACACTCACACTTCTGGTTCCTACGCATGCCGCTGTTATCATGATTCCTCGTTGTCGTCCTCATCTGCGAGTCGGTGTTGTGGGGATATTCGGCAGCGCGTTGGCAATAATAGCAGCATTGAGTAAAAAATGAACAGCACCATCGTCCCAAGCACCCTCGAGAACAGGGGTGTGGACGACAGCACTGACAGCGACCTGAGTGAGGATGGGCTGTAGTGGGAGAGGGTAAGAGAGGTGACGGAGTTGTCCGGATATTCAGACCAGTATTGCCCATATCTTGTTCTCTCCCGATGAAGGGCACCTTAACCCTTGCTACCGACATCTATTCACTCAAAATTATCAGTAGTCGTAGATTAGCTGGCCCTGGCTTGTATCCTATTTTATTTTTAGCTAAATTCCTCCACATATTCGTCCAATAAAGCCCTCTAGATGCATTTTGTCTGACCGAAACTCGTTTTGAGGTTATGTGAGCTCGTTGTTACTTCTGTATTTCACGGTGAAGATTATAAAGTTCATACACTGACTATAACAGGATGTATCAATGATATCAGGATCACCCGGAGCTCTCTAGACTGTTTCAAGGAGTTTTGGTCAGACGAAATCGTCGTAGGAAAAGCAGATTCCATTATTGCTATTATGAGCTATCTAATGAAATGCATTCTTTCAAGCTCGACCAGCCCGACTGCCAAAACTTATCAGGCAATGCTACTCCGACACCTGGTATATGTTAAAAGAATGAATATTTACACTTCTAGACACTAATCTAGAACAGTATGGTGGATACATTCGTCAACTGTCCATTATTTATCACCATCAGAAGAAAAAATCTGAATTCCTTATTGCAGGATGAGAAACATTCAGCTCATTTGACCAACATATGATTATAAAATGAGATTAGAGCCTATTCCGATAGAAATCAGAGGCTCAATTATCATCTACAAAACATAAATTGATATTGAACGAATTGTTTTAAGACTCTTTGAGCCTCCGGGCTTCGATCAGCAGCTGTGCATCCAGGCACACGTCTTCAATTCATTTCCACTACGCAATGACCTCTTCAACTGGGGCCGTCGTCTCCACATCCCCTTTTTTGAGGGTGCTGGAGATGATGTCGCTTCCCGCTTCAAGCTTCATGATCACTGAATCCCTCAATGCCGCTGTCCTCACCGACATCTCACCCAACAAACAAATCCCAAAAAATCCCCCCACCATCGCTCGGTGCTCGATACTTGATGTCTGCCCCAACAAACAGCAACTGCTCCACGCTATCGTTTTCAAGGCCTCCTGAAAATATGACGCCTTCCATTTCTCCCAGCAACGCTGCCATCGTTGCAGACACCCCTCCCATGAAGCTTGGCCCCACTTCCCCAAAACATTCAACCCACCCACACTCAACAACCACCCTGACTGGTGCCATCGTCTCCTCACCCCCGTTTTCGAGGGTGCCAGAGATGATGATGCTGACCGTTTCCCTCAAGAATGCCGCCATCGTCGCCAGCGACGCCCAACATCCCTTACCCCATTCCTCAATGTCAACCTCACCCTCACTCGGCGACGTCTCCGATTGGTGCTGCCGTCTCCTCACCCCCATTTTCGAGGGTGCTGGAGACGATGGTGACATCCATTTCCTATCACAATGCCGCCATCGTCACCGACACCACATCCAATAATCCTGCCCCTCCCCCAACAGAAATCCCCCTACCCTCGTCAAACAGCCAGACCGACGAGTGTCGTTGTCTTGTCACCCCCATTTTCAAGGGTGCTGGAGACAATGGTGCCATCCATTTCCCCCCACGATGATGCCATCGCTGCTGATGCCATGTTCAACATTCTGGCCCCATCCCTGCAAACGTTGCCCCCATTCTCGCTCAACGGCCACACCAACAGGTGCCCTCTTCTCGTCACCACCATTTTCAAGAATGCTGGACATGATGGTGCCACTGGATTCCCCCTACAACGTCACTGTTATCGTCGACGCTGACCCTGCCCCTGCCAAAAAAAAAAAGCCCCCGCCATCGCCTGTCAGCGATCCCGTTTAGTGCCGTCGCCTTGTCACCCCCGTTTTTGAGGGTGCTGGAGACAATGGCACTGTCGTCACCAATACCCATTTCTAAATATCCCTGTTTTTCTTCATTCCCATGGCCTCCATCATCACTTTTGTACAATGGGTTTTTTTCATTCTGTAGTATATTTACATTGATGTACTTCTACTTAAATCACATGAAATTTTTTGTTTCAACTTCTGATGACCAAAATATTCTGAGGACAGAAAACCATCAGAGCAACACCAAAGTGATACTTGAAATCCTGGAAAGGTACTCATTATGAGCCAAAATTGGCCACAAAATCAATACTCATATGAAAAATTTTTTCCAGCCAAAGACACGACCCAATATAGCTGGGCTACCAGCCCAATTCCAAGGGAAAAGGCCCCAAAGCCGTGCTGGTGGCTGTGCCACTAATTAGCGGTCCAGATGACATTGCCTCAAATGCTGATCAGCATAAAAAAAGGGTCAAATCCTACAGCATGGCCTGATGTGCCCCCCTTGCCTCCTGTTACAGGACAAGGTGCTTTCTTGGGTGCATGCCCTCTGTCTCCCATATGCAAGGAGGCTCCAGCTCCAACGATGCCGCTGTAAGGCTTGGGAAGAAGGTATAAACTGAGATGTATTCCCTAGCGAATTCTTTTGAATGCGAGGACTTTCAATAATCTCTGACAGACGTGAACTAGCAAAGGTAGGATACAAGAGGATACAAGAGAATAATGATGAGAGAAATGATTAGTGATAATGATTCTCAAACTAAAGAGGTAGGTAAAACTCCTTGAGATAGAGCCCTAGATAATGCTAGGCAGCTGCTACACTTGGAGAGTGAAAAAGGATTGATTGGTTCCCACTGATGTTGGGGGGATAAAGTCTCCTGATTGATTTCTCTGCTACTCTACAGCTACTTATATACTACTGGAGAACAATAAGTTTCCATATTTAGAACACAATGGGCAGGAATAATAAGAATATAGAACAATGAGTCCAGATGAAAGAACAATAGGATTATAGGACAATAAGACAATAGAAGAGAACAATAAACAATAGAACAATAATCAAAATTTGATGATCAAGAGATTCTGATGGGGCAGATCAGCTACATGATTCCAGGTACCATTGTGATTTGATGTTAAGAAATCTTGAATAGAGATCTGGAGAGAATATCTTCCTCTTTGTACATATTACCTTTGAGAGATGCAAGTGGAACATAGTAGTTGAATTGGTGCACAGCCTATACTGGATGTGCACACCGCCACCACCGCTTCCAGTGGAGGAGCGGTTGTCTATCGTCATTGAGCAGTCCCCTCCTCCTGTCGACCTCATGGATGTCGATGAGCCCCCTTCACCTCCTCGGGTATATCATCCGGTGACTGGTGTTCCCCTTCATTCCTGCTCACTTGTCATCATCTCTCCAGCTCCTGATGAGCCTTCTTCTCCTGCTCCCACACCTAGCCAGGCTCAGGCTTCAAAGCGTGGTAGCCAAGGCCAATCCACAGGCAAGAAAGGCAAGGACAAAGGCAAGGGCAAGGCTACTGCTCCTGCTCCTGTGCCCGCTCGCTCTCCCTCTCCCATTGTCGTCCCTCCAGTTTCTGCTGTCCGTGAAGAGCCGCTTTTCCCCAAGAAGAACTTGAAGAGGAAGTGCTCTACTGCAGCCACGAATACTTCTGAGGCTGGCCCTTCAACTCAGGCAACGAGTTCTCGTCCTACTCGTGCCTGTTCTGCTACTGCTAAAGCAGCTCGCATCCCTGACATCCACACCAATGCTGAGTCTGCTAAGGCTGGTCCCTCAGTCAAGAAGCCTTGTTTCTCCCATGAGAAGGCTGCGACATCCAAGTCTTCTAAACCTCCTGTAACCGTCGCTCCCGACCCCGCTCCTCAAGACTCCAACTGGATGTTCTGTGGGTGCCTCAAGCAGCAGTTCTTGGCTGCAGAGCTCACTCAGGCACAAGATCCCAAGGTCGCCGGTATTCCCATCGATAAGCACAATAGCTGTCCCGAGTTGGAGAATTACCACTTCAAGGACTTGATTACTGCGCCAGATGAGTTCTTCGAGTGAGCTTTCTGTGTTCTCTCTTCCTCCTTTCTTCGCTAACTTTCTTTCTCAGCCCAGTTCGCTATGGCCATAAGAACAGCACCTATGGTGCTCGTTCTTCTCGTTATGCTTTCTATGCATGTGCTCCTGATGTGAGCTCGCTGCTTTTTCTCTTTTTCCTTTGCTGATTCCGCTCTTTTTCAGCACTATGAGAAAGTTTGCCTCCCTTGCTCCACAAGGATGATCGAATGCACTTGGAACAATTGGTTCCCAGGTGCTGACTGCAATCAGTGTCGGGAGAGGCATCATGGTGGCTGCTCCGCTCGTTATACCACCCACGAGATTACTTCTCATCTCACCACTTTTGTGTGGTATAATATCCCGAGTAAGTCTTGTTCTCTTCTTTTCTG